GAAGTTTATTAGATATAGCTTATTGCAGTATTCTTATAATTTTATACTGAATCATTTATTATTGTTAATTTGGGTATGGGCTATACTGTAGCCTAGTTGACATAACACGTCATCATAATGCATAACGGTCATTTATGTGCACCCCCGTGGCATTTCGAAAAGGTATTTGAAAATCAGCAGATCAACGTACAGTTAAGAGGGTTGTTTTATTTCATGGTTAAGATTCTACTTGTATATTTAATTTATTGTATGAATGTAAATACTGCGGTACTTATTTGTTCAGCTATTTCTCGCGGAGGAACATAAAGCATCATTCTGTCTATGGACTTCGCGTTAAATTGAATGCTTCTATATCACTCAGCAGAAATGCATGTCACTTGCATGAAATATCATTGTAGTTTGCATCTTTAGCGCACTTTCGATGACGTTAATTTGTATATGATTATGTACCCATATTAATGTTAATTTTTAGCTAAATAGGCGTATAATAACTACGACCAAAATGTTTTTTGTTTGTTCGAATTTATCTGTTTTGCATGTTAACGCTAAATCAATATCAATATAATATTATTTGCAATTTTATTTTTCCGCACTTAATGAGCTATTTCATTCGTGTACGATGTTACTTATTATATTTTATAGAAAAATAGATTTTCATCTTTTTGACTATGTATTTATATATCGTGTATAATTTATATTTGAAAAGGAAATTACTTTAAAATATTTCTCCATGATCAAAAGGATTTTGTCAGAACAAAACATGTGTAAGGTCAAAAATATTAACATTTGGATCAACGATTTTGAATGCATTGTTGTAGTATACTACATGGTTCAAGTTCAAATGCGTAAAGACCGATAGACTTGAGTGAATAATTACAAAGCATTCCAACGATAAACTTCGCATTCTTAAATTAAAATGTACAAAAAATTCATATCGGTTTCAATTCTATAATGCTTATAAAAAAGAGAGTTTATAGAAATATGTTGCATTACATGGTGTTTAGATGTAATTTTCCTGACGTCATATGGTTTATTTTTATCATGCAACTGCTATGGTAACTGCCCGATAACACTTGCCTGATAATTATTTTTGATATCAGGTCAGTAACCTGATATCAAAAATAAGCCCCGCCCATTTTAACGGACTTTTTTCAATTGCTTATATTCTTATTTTCATCAGCATGTGAATTCTACAATGTAATCTCATACCCTTACAAGTCTTGAATCAAGATGCGATATTTATTTATTAATTATTTCGATTTCAATTACGAATAAATTAGATAGCGAATAGTTTTAGCACCAACTAAATGAAGTGACGTCATAATTTATATTGCAAATGACATCATCGATGTTCACGTCATACTATACATGTAATCATAACAAACAGGCTGGACGATTTTCTTTGAGAACTTGTAACTGTTTACTTTATTTCGCCGGATTATTATTTAATAAGTGAACAAATTGTTTTGTTTAAAAAATAAGACGCATGTTTGTGTAGCTTGTGTTTGATTGCCGATTTTACTTTTCTTTGATGAACTTTTGAATTTGACAATTCAAGACAAATATTGCAGTAAAGTTTAGTTTATGTGATTCTAAGTGGATTTTTGGATCGATGTTTAAATTAAAGGTAAGAATTTTATCGTATTAGGCACTAAAGCATCTTTTATCCGAGTCGAAAGAAAAAATGGCGGCCATTTACAAATTCTAAGTTTCAGGGGTGGAGGAATTTGTTTTCAAGAATTATTTCTTTGAACAAAAATCCCCCTTTTTTACGAAATTCGCTATTTAAAAGTAGATTATTTTGTTATTTTGACAGTTAATATGTAATACATGATAAATAGAAAAACATGCTACTGTCTTTTGATATCAATTTTATCAGGCTCGGCTGATATGGGCAGAAAGGGCTCGGCAAGCCTCGCCCTTTCTAGCCCATATCAGCCGAGCCTGATAAAATTGATATCAAAAGACAGTAGCATGTTATTCTCTATACGTCATATATGATGTCATATAAAGTGAAAGCATTTGTTTATTATGTTGTGCATTTATCGTGTTATAATACATGCGTTTGTCCTGTCTGACTGAAATGGGAATAGTGCAAAGCGTGTTAGAATATTAGATATGGATGAAAAAAAATGTTCCAGCGGAATTTCGATACACTGGAAATTGCATATTCATTGATATGCTTTTGAAATTTTAGGGACGCCATAAAGACACTATCAAAAGACGGCAAGATAAAAATTGATGTAGAAATACTTTGCATTATATATAATTATATAAATAATTGTTACGAGATACAAGTAAACAGACAGAAAAATAAAATTAAGAATATATCACAGAACTGAAGTAGAGAAAAACGGAATCCCTAAAGAACGCCCAAAACTACATCATTGTAAATGTCGCATGCTGTGTTTGATTGATCCAGTGCATTGAGGCTGTCCACATCCCATAGCAACGGCTTAAGCAGAATTCAACAAGTAAACACAAACATTGGACATATTAATATTGAATTTAGAAATATCTGCAGATGTGTTCATATGAAACATTCAATGGACACTTTCCTACTATTCCATGACAATCGGCCTTTGGTCCCAATGTAACAGAATATATGTGACAAAATGAGAAAAAAAGTAGTCGAACAAAACAAAATGGAATTTGAAAGGGGATTGGAGGCTATGAAGCATGCAAATTACAGATAAGACGTCAAAAGACAAACTTAAAAAGCAGATTCCCTATTTTAGGGGTAAGTATACAATATTCAAATATGAATACTGGAACCACGCAAGTAGAAAAAAAGGTCGAACAGAAGAAACTAAAAATACCATAGGCATGTACACACAACAATGATTCCGTGCTGAATGTTTTTAATGGATCGAAAACATAATATCATTGAATATAAGAACGGGACGACTATAAACGACCTCAACACGGAAAGAAAAAGTGATGGGGCAATAAAATAGAGACAAAAGAAATCCCTTAAGAAAGTCCAAAACGACAAAATTGAAAATTTAGCAGGCTCGGTTTGATATAGTCTGTTCATCGACGGTATTGGAAAGTTCAAATTTCACTTTATTTCATATTTTGTTTTACCGTTCACGCCAACCTTAGCAGAATTCAACAAGTAAACAAAAAAAAGATAAAATTTTGAATTTATAAACATCCGCAGATGAGTTCATATGTCGGTTATCATGAAACGTTCTATGTGACACGTGGCCGGAACTATACGAACTGGAGAAAATGGAATGGAAAAGAAACGTAAACGTAAAGTACCTCACAGACGTACACACAACAATAAGGTCGTGATGAACGATCTTGAGGAATCGAAAATATAACATATTTAATTAAATATATATAAACGACTTTTTACGCCCTCCACATGGCAGAAATAACACTGATGTGGTATAAAGATAAAGAAAAAAACAAACAGAATTTGTGACGAATGCCAAAAAAACCCCGACACAATTAAAAATTAAAAATGTCAACGCCATTGTAGCAGCGGTTTAATTAGAATTCAACATTAAAGCAACAAACTGGTAAGATTTAAAATTTAAAGTTAATTTTTAAGAACACTTTGATTTCCATTTGGTTTAGAAAATGACTTGATATTCAAAACCAAGTCGTATCTTGGAAAACAATCTAATAGATGAAGGACACTATTTAGGTTAACACGACCACAAGGAAAAGCCCAAGAAATGACAAAAATCATTGTTAAATGATGAATAGAAAACAAGATGTAGATTATATCAGATCCAATGGAAAATCAGTGCAAAAACAACAAATACTTATGGTAAAATAGAGAAAATAAGAATCCCTAAAGAAAGTCCAACACGGCAAAACTGAAAATGTTGCAGGCTCGGTTTGATTGAGCCTGTTCATGGACGGTACTGTCAAGTGCAAACTACCGTCCACGCCCCATAGCAGCGGCTTAAGCAGAATTCAACATTTAACATGAACTAGTACAATTTTGAATTTTGAAGGATCCACAGATGCTAAATCAAAGTACATCAACAAGAGGGAACACGCAGCAGAAACAAGATAAACAAATACGGTCAAAATGCAGAAATATACCGCATGATGAAATAATTGTTTGTCTAATCCTTTAGCATTTGTCTGACATGTAAATAACCAAATTAGTTTGCTAAACCCACATCCTTGGGTAAAATATATATATCATGGAAATTTATTGAAATCTATAACATTCTTACTGAATATGTCTTTCATAACTAAAAGAATGAATAAACTATGTATTGGAAGCTGCCTTCCCTATTACAGATCAAGTAAAGTTGGTCCTTACTTAAAAAATGCCAGTTTATTTAATGATATTGTGACCACCTAGATTGTGTATAAGTATTAATGTTTCTTTTTTACTTCATGTGAAGTAAATACATGTTTATTTTATAGTTACAAAGAAACTTTGTAGCAATTATCAATATTTTCTAATATCAAATTTAAGCATAGTATATCTTCAAAGAACCAGATTCCAAAAGAAAAAAAAGAAAAGTGATTAACTCTTAGATCATAAAAGGAATCAATTGTTTACATTTTAATAAACCCAAAATAAGACTTTTCCCACACTGAAAGTAGGTACATAATAAACATGATAAACTGTAGTGAATTTCAAACTTCATTCAAGTTTATAGGCTCAGATCAAAGAAAATTATTGATATCTGCGAGCACTGGAAATAAATTATTCCCGTATCTTTTCCTATTTCCTTTAGATATATTTTTTACAAATACAAAGGATTTTATTAAAACTTACGAATAATGTTTAAAGTTATTATTACAGACGTATAAAGTAGTTTTACAACCAACGAAAATGAATGTGTATGGTTTGAAGATGGGCAATACTTCAATTTGTCAAAGAATGCATCGGAACTTGAAAATTGAATACAGTCTATCTACACCCTGTTTGATCCCATCACATAAACAACCATACCCAAGTAAAAACCATTCAAATATCAATATCACTATAAAAATTAACTAGAACTAGCATGTAAGTTTACCTTTACCAGCCTTGAAAAATCCTACACCTTTTCTATATACTTTTAAACACGCATGTTTTACAGTTGATGTCACTTTAGCAACTACAACAAAAGAAAACAGTCTTTGATTTTTTTTTTCAAATTTAATACTTTTCGCTAAATTTGCGATAAATTGTAGCGTTTTTGTTCCAGTTTGCGAACGACGTTGATATTAACCATTAAATCAAACCTAAAATACGTTTGTTGTATCGAAGGAAGTCTATAATACAAAGTATAGATTTTCTGCTACTTGCATTTGAGTGGTCACTTATCAACTCGAGCTGCTTTTAGCAAAATTTACGGAAGACGGTCTTGTTTTGTGTACACAGTTAAGCAGGTTGTGTACGGGGTGTAGATGAAAAACTGTTAGCGAATGTACTGGTTTAAGTAGGTAAACTAATGCCATTTTATGCAAGACTGAACTTATTCTTTTTTAGCATACACGTAAGCTGACGAATGAATAACGATCGTTGCCACGAGTAGTCATCGTAAAGTGAAACATTTTCATAAAATTAATAAAAAATAAAAAATGCAATATGAATATATAATTATGGTAAACCGATAAACCGTTTCCGTCCTGTTAGACTACTTTTTATGCCTGACTTTGAGTAAGTAGGAAAAATGTACAACTCTGCAAAGCTTATTTTATCATCAATTGGTAGAACATTACAGTAGAATTCTATAATTTGTACGAAACAATATGAAATCATGTGTTGAGTTTTGCATTGAGAACTAAAGATGATAATAGCTGGCCACATATATTTATGCACTAAGGTTACACAGCATCGTGGAAGCATACGTTTAGTTGATCGTGAACGTTGAATCTAAAAGTTCAAAAAACTGTCAAATTAAACTCGTCAAAACATAACTTTTCTCAAGTGTCTCAATTCCAAGTCGACATATAGCTCATTCAAGGCGGCCAAAATTTATGGGAGACACATGCAAATGCTGTTTTTTAGAAATAAATCAATTAAGATTCTGATCAGTTATTGACCTGACTTGTGTGTAGATAAGTTTATATTTCCCCAAAATCGGACCATGTCCATTCATTGAGTTGTTCAGAAGACACTTCATTATGTCTTATAAATAATCACAGAGACTTTCCATCTTATACTTCAGTTGTGATGGTGTGAAAAAAGAAAATAAACAATGTTTTTCTGTTAGGCTCAAAAACACTAATAAATTAGATAATTTACTAAATAAATCTGCATCTTCGTCTAATTTCTAGATGTTTTAGTCTGAAATGGGATTATTCCAATACTAAATCCTGTATATTAAACTACTACATCCCGTTCACTTTAATTTGTTTTCTTGCCAGACACAAGGAAAGACCATTTTCTCAAATTTTGCTAAAAGCAGCTCGAATAGATGGATGACCAATCGAGGGCGCTTATTATTTATGCAGACATATTTTCATAATTCCTGCCGAAATGCAGAAGGAGTCTTTCTTCCTATAAAAAGAATAAATATACAATATGAAAAGTTATTACTGTCTTCATACACAATTCAGCTATGACCTTTCATCTACCAAACCGTTTAACAAATTTTACATACAAACGATGATAAATACAGCCTGGCGGACGTTATATATATTACGTAAAATACAAGCAAACTACAACTAATAGTTATTAGTTAATACTGCGAATACAGGTTAGCGATAAAATGTTACACATAGTTTTTCTGCCAATTATATTCAATTTGATTTATGTTCAGCAAAGTAATCGAGATAAGAAAATATTATGCCTAATAAATAAAAAATGAAAACCTAAATGATTAAAACACACATACCTGCGCCTGACTTATTTACATGCTCAAAATCGGAACCTAATTCTAGATCGTTGGGGTTATCTGCAAAGATTTCACCAGCACGGTCCATTTGTTGGCTATTATTATCATCACCCATACAACCTTCATCAACTGAAATGTTCAATATGTTTTCGTGATTTTATACAATTTAATGTAGGTTTTTACCAATAAAGTGTGTACCTAGTTTCAGATAATTCACTCACTCGTTTTTATTGCGTAAAATGAACTAACAATGGAATGCTCTTTAACTGAAAAGTAACCAAACGAAACAAAGATTTATATTTAAATCTTGGTATATTTATCTGTTTGTATCTCATACATTTCCGCTTAATGTGCCAAAGATGATCAACATGAGATTTTCAAATTTTATATTGTGTGCTTTTGGACATAAGCATGGGCCTCTTTAATGATAAGAAGTAATCTCTGACTGGCAATATAACGCTACCATTACTTAAATACGGGTGTTATTTTTGATGAACGTTTTTCATTCTATAAAGTGACATTCTTTTAACACTAATCACTCACTGTATATTTCAACAGATACATCTTTACCCTCTATCTGAATTGGTCTTTTCCTCAGCGCTAACTGTAAAGCTGAAAAAAATCGAGACATGGTATAATTCAATTGTAAACAAGTCATGACTAAGCATGTCCCATATATTTTTTCATTTTTAATTTTATATTCACTATCTTCCCTCAAGCACAAATACCTATATGTTATGCATTTTTAATATTTTGATTACCTGACACAACCGGATGCCTAATAATATATTTATAACTAGGTTTTTTTGTTCACAGAATCCCTGGATATCTGACAATAAAATCATAATTTCACTCAGTGAACCTTTCAATGACATAATTGACTCATGAAAACATAATAAACAAAACGGACTGTGACAGAAAAAAGACAACATTATTTTTGCAAAATCTTACAATATCACTAAGTCAAGATATAAAGCGAAGCCTTTTCGGTTATCTCTCCTTTTTGAGTTATCTGTCCTTAAATTTCAATATTTGCTTTTGTTGAGGAACAATTTGCGGACAAAAACTCTTGCATTAAGTAGACATCGGTATATAACAGCCACGCAATTTGTTTGAAACTATGAATGTAACAACTGACCTTCCGCCTCCTCAAACTCAACAAGAGCAGATGATTCATTCTCATCGATTTCCACTCTTAAAACCTTGCCACCCCCTTCTCGCCTTGTATTTTCAAACGAGTTTATCAAAGAATCTATCCCAATGTGTTTTGGTAAACCACAAACTTTAAGAATTGTAGCATTTGCAGGCGTCCGTTCAGACGTTGACTCTAAAAGAATGATCTATACTTGATACGATTGACATTTAAAAAAAACTCGAAGCTTCTCTTTGTTCGAATCTAATATTTTAAGAAACTTTCATCATTTTGATTTACTGTCCTGATTTCGTTGCTGTTGAAATACTTTATTACATGTTAGCATGTTTCGTAGTGGCCATTAGATAAAATTGTATATTCCTGGATTGCAATAGATTGACAAGTTGCTTCTTACTTAAACTAAGATATGTCCATTTTTCCTCTAATAATTGTGTAGTGTATTAAGTATTCAAGAAAGTTAACTCTTCCAGTCTTGTATGTAAAACATGAGTACAATAGTTGTCGTTCTTTAATACTCTTTAGTTTGGAGATTAATAGTTGGATAATAAATGGCGTGACCTTAAATGGTGTTTTTATTATTAGTTAGATTATCCAAGAATATCGGCTTAGAGCCGGAGTATATTACATAAATATTTGGCGACGAGGATTAATAAGACCTTCATTTTGATGTTTACGGGATGGCTGCTGTAAATTTATCGGACATTTCTGGTATTTTGCCATTTGAACTTGGTGATCGTTCAACGTTGGGTTTTCGTTGGACTCGTTGGTTGAGAAGTTTTGAACTTTACGCTGAAGGGAAAGGTGTAAAAGACGCCGCACAAAAGAAGGCTTTGTTATTGCATTCAGCAGGCCTAAGTGTTCAGGACATTTTCTTCACACAGGAAGTGCCAGATCCTGGTGAGGGAGAGGATGTATATAAGGTTGCGAAGAAAGTGTTGGATACGTACTTTAAACCGAAAGTGAATTCTGCATTTGAGAGGTCTGAATTCAGGGGAATTGCACAGCTACCAAATGAATCAGTTGACCAGTATATAACAAGATTGAGGCAGAAAGCTGTGAACTGTAATTTTCATAATATTGAAGAAAAATTCGTGATCAATTAATTAAAAAGTGTTATTCACAAAGATTGAGAAGAAAACTGTTAGAAAAAGATGATCCATCATTAGATGAATGTAGACAGATTGCTATTGCTTTAGAAGCATCCGAATCTCAAGCTATTGCGATGGAACAAACAACATCAACAAATCATGAACATGTGAATAAAGTGTTCACAAAATTCAGCAGAATGCATGTAAATTATGGGTGTAAAAATAAAGTATTATGTTTTGCATTTGGACATGAAGGACATATCAAATCAGATCCACATTGCCCCGCTAAAAGAAAAACCTGCCGGAAATGCAAAAAGGTTGGACATTTAGAAAGATATTGTAAATCAAAATGTATGGGTAAACCTAAATACTGGAAATCTAATAGTAAGAATAAAGTTCTTCAAGTGAATTGTGATGAAGAACAAAATGATTCCGAAGATTCGGATTATGTTAGTGAACAGTTAGTGAATTGTCATGCAAGAATGAAGATTAATGTAAATATTGGAGGCATTATGGTACCTGTGATTGTAGACTCTGGAGCTTCTGTAAACGTAATTGATCGGGAATTGTGGGAAAAATTGAAACAAAATAAAGTGAAATGTAAGTCAAGTTTAACAGACAAGAAAGTTTATGCATATGGACATAAGAAACCATTAACAGTTGCAGGATGTTTCATTACGGTTATTTCAGTGAATGACAAACGGGAAGAAGCTGAATTTCTGGTCATTGAAGAGAAAGGTAAAGCATTGCTTAGTAAAGGTACATCTGTGAAATTAGGACTTTTAAAGATTTCTACAGATTGTAACATAAACACTTTAAATGTAGAAAGTGGACAAAAACTAAACTGAGGGAGAAATTTCCAAATTGCTTTAATGGAGTAGGAAAATTGAAAGATTTTCAATTACATATTCCCGTGAATGAGAATGTTGATCCTGTTATTCAACCGTTAAGGAGAATTCCATATGGTTTACGTGAAAAACTGGACAAAGAACTTGATAATTTAGAAAAATTAGATATAATAGAAAAAGTAGATTCGCCAAGTAATTGGGTTAGTCCAATTGTTGTAGTACCTAAGAAAGAAGGAGTCAGACTATGTGTAGATATGAGGCGTGCAATTGAAGCTGTAATTCGGGAAAGATACCCTATACCAACAACAGAAGAGGTTTGCAAGATTTGAATGGTTCAGCTGTATTTTCAAAGCTAGACATTAAGATGGCGTATCACCAAATTGAACTGGATACACAATCAAGGGAGATAACTAGTCTATAAACTACATTCATGACTCATAGAGGAATGTATAGATATAAAAGACTTTTGTTTGGAATAAGTTGTGCACCAGAAATATACAACAAGGTACTTTCACAAGTGTTAAGTTGATTGTTAGGCGTTAACAATGTCTTTGACGATATGATTGTACATGGAAAAGATACTGCGGAACATGATGCTAGACTACATGCATTATTACAGAGATAACAAGATAAGGGATTGACTTTAAATTTAGACAAGTGTCAGTTTAACATGTCTCACATTGATTTCATGGGTATTGTTTTGTCAAAATATGGAGTAGGACTATCTGAAGAGAAAGTGAAAGCGGTACATGGACTGCCAATTTCAATACAAACAGATAATGCTCAGAATTTCAACAGTAAAGAGCTAAATGAATATCTAGAAACACATAATATAGAACATAGAAACACAACACCGTTATGGCCTTAAGCAAATGGGGAAGTCGAAATTCAGAATAAATCAATAATGAAACGTATAAGAATATCACATGCAGATAATCGAGATTGGCAAGAGGATCTACAGACTTACTTGATGATGTATAGATCAACTCCACATAGTACAACTGGTGTCTCGCCAGCCTACATGTTGTTTCGGAGAAACATAAGAACAAAAATTCCAGATATTTCAGATTTTTTGTATATGAATTATGATCAAGAAGTAAGGGATCGAGACAGCGAAATGAAAGGAAAAGGGAAAATATATGCGGACAGACAAAGACAAGCTAAGGAGAGTGATATCAAAGAAGGAGATAGTGTATTAGTGAAACAAAGGAAACAAAATAAGTTATCTACAGTATTCAATCCAAAGCCAATGTTAGTGACCAAAAGGCAAGGGAATAGTGTCATGATAGAATCCAAGGATGGAGCTATATATTCAAGAAATGTATCACATGTGAAAAAAATTCAATGAAAGTTGTAGTGCTAATATAGATGAAAATGTGTCGCAAAATGAATATGTTCAATCAGAAAAAAGAAATGTGCTTGAAAATTCTGTTCAGAGAAATGTTGATTTGAGAAATGAAAAGTTTATTAATGAGAGTGTAGAAAATTTAGTTGAAAATGAGAAAGAGAATGGAGAAGATTCAATTCACAGTAATCCAAATGTGTCTATAGAAAGGGAAGCAATTCCGATAAAAACTAAAAGTGTAACACCTACAAAGATGATGACAAGACCATCAAGAGTAAAAACATTGCCTAAGAGATATGAAGACTTTGTAATGGATAAGAAATAACTGAAAGTTCATATACATAAAGTTAAACTTTGGGTTTTTTTAACAATGAGGTACATTGTATTATTAACTGTATTTGTAAAAATATTTACATTACAATGTGTTTTTATTTTGTTTAAAATGTTCATAAGTTAAAGAATTTTGTGTTATGTTATAAATGAATAAGGTTTTGCATTTTAACTCTGACAAACTTTTGTAATTAATAAACAGATTTATATGTGTTATGCTTGAAAAACAATTAAGGGTTTCATATTTAATAAGGGGAGGAATGTAGTGTATTAAGTATTCAAGAAAGTTAACTCTTCCAGTCTTGTATGTAAAACTTGAGTACAATAGTTGTCGTTCTTTAATACTCTTAATACTCTTTAGTTTGGAGATTAATAGTTTGATAATAAATGGCGTGACCTTAAATGGTGTTTTTATTATTAGTTAGATTATCCAAGAATATCGGCTTAGAGCCGGAGTATATTACAAATTGCACGTTATAAAATGAGCTATGTTTTATGACTGCCGGACGATATTTTGACACTATTCATAATTCTATTTTTCAAAATAAAGTAAATATTCCAGGAAAAGCTAATAAGCACCTGCGCGGAACTGTTATGAACATAACATGATCGCAAAAGGTTTTTACGGTGGCTATATTTACCTGAAATCGGTCCCGGATTTTGCTCAATACCAGCCAAGAGCAACAAAATACCTATGAATACGACAGCCCCAATAGTCTTTATTCCTCGGGTACAGTTGACTGTATATTGGACAATTATTACATCTGTACCAAAGTTTCGACTGAAGCAACCAATTCTTCCACGATAAGTTTGTATATCGACACCCATTATAATATTCTGAAAAAAGGACACATCATGAGTTTTACAAATATATGTTTTTATGAATAAAACACTATTGATGTATGTTCCGTAAGAAAGTGAAATGTAATATACAATTATTGACTAGTGAGCCATTGAATATGATGTGATATTCACCGGCAGATGACAAAAGATCCTGTATGTTGTAATTGAGGTTGTATACCACACTTAAATGAAATAATATATACGTATATAATTATACTTATAAAACAATTTTTTCGAATAATATGTTACATATTACATGTAATCATTAAAATATATATGCATTAATTTCTGATTGAAAAAATTGACTTATTCTTTATAGAATTTTTTTTTTTACCTTTCTTTATTTACATGAATGTAAAATTCGGTAATATCTTTATAGATAATGGTTTTGGAACTTACAAAATTGATAAATCTTAATTTGAGCATCATGTTATGATATAAAACCATAAAATAATTGTGTAACATTTTCAAGAACGCCATGCGCCTTTTTAGCGCAGATGTATATTAATATATCCTTCAATGTAAGGGAAGAACATATTATCAAACAATAGTTGCGAAAGTTTAACTTACATTCGTAAACCAAAAATTGGAAAATAATAATGTTTAATGAACATAATACATACTTAAAGTGTGCTGAAAACAAACAATCTACTTAATTGTCAAGCATGTTATCAATATACAATTCAGTGAACTTCAGACTTTGAAATTATCTATCTAACGAGTAAAATGGTAGTTTACCAATGGTGTAACACGTAAATGCCGTAAACGTAAAAAGTTCTAATGTATGTTTATTAGACTGGAAAAGACCATTTGTATCATATGTATAGCTGTAGGAAATTACAAATATTTGTATATTATCAATAATGCACTAGTTTTATTTTTCAAGTGGCAAAAAGATAATGAACCACTATCTCGTGGTATTTTTATAAACACCATGATCACCTGTTCATTCTCACATTCAAGCAGTTTATGTTGAAATTTCGTTTTTGCTCATTTTAACAAAGAACAAACTATTTAAGACTATGTGTTATCAATTACATAGTGATATTTTTAGGTACACTTACAATCAACTATGTGGTAAAGAGAAGATGTCGATGACTTTTTCCAATTTTTAGCGCTAGAGTTTTTAAAGTTTACTTATTGTGACGGCTAGCGATAGAAATATCATATTCGTATGCTCGTTCATTGATTACTTTTTTGGGGGCTTCATATTGTGACAACAGGGAACATGTTTTTTATGTTTGACTATGATACAAAAAAGAAAGAACAACCAACATTCGGCAATCTGATATATACTCTGGGGGCTGGGGGTGGGTCTTACGTCCCCTTGTACAAATAAGAAAGCCTCGTGTTTCACACATATATTATGATTAATCTTTCTATTTTATTTTACAAGATATATGACCACTTTCTTCTTAAGGGTCACGTATACCTTTAAGAAATACCGTTTTTATAACGGCTGCCATAAAAAAAACATCAAATTATGTAATATTTGCAGCTGTATACGTGCCAAGTTGAATCAGTATTGCTCTCATTAAAACGTATAATGACCTTTTTGTTATACACTTCTATACGGTTTTGATATTTTGATACAACTGTGTTACTTCAATTAAAATTACTTTATAGGGATTTTCGAACTATATAAATGACAGAGAGGACTTGTAAAAATTAAAACTGAGGCTATATGGGATAGAATATATCGATTTTATGCAAATTATGTAGAGAAATATTTTCTCACATAAGATTTTTCGTCCATGGTTTTGGGGTGCCGATGTCCTGCCTTAGCAGCAAGGGCTTCATAAATACCTTTCCCCCATGTATTATAACCAGCCTCAATTGTGTTGGACAGTGTGCTGAACTAAGTTGAATATCCAATGGAATGAAATGTAAAATATCTTGTAAAACCATGCAATCATTTCAAAGTGGTTGTAGCATTATACATTTCAACGTTATTAAATAATAATTGTACAAGTATTGAGTGACAACTTGCACTACCAGCAGATGCACGTGGGCAACATTACGCGTCAAATTATTACAGTTGCCATAACACATGTTGTTGTGTGTATAAAACAATCGAACAACTGATATACCTCGGAAGCAATGGAATTAAACTACATTGACGAAGAATGTATCGATAGTCAAATTTAATTATCTTTATATAACTATTATAATGTAATAAAATATTTCGGGCGAACATTTTATGATGACTTCCCATTGCTCTGGCAATACTAAACAGTGAAATAACTGTAAAACATAGAGAAAATATATATTAATGATTTTCTAACTTAAACACCTAAACATAATTTGGTTGTAAAAGTTGTGTTTGATTTGTCAATGACCTGGTAATACATGCATAAAATATTTTAAACTTATTTTTAGCATATCCCAATACAGAACTAGTTAGGATGAATGATCGTATATCACGCCAAAAAAAAAACTAAACAAAATGTTTCACCTTTAAATTGTAAATACTCGTAAGTAGTTAAAGTTTGGCCATATTTAACAGATATGCGCCATCAACTGTCATACTGACATGTTTAATTTTCCTAAATCAAGAGATTTTTCTGAATGAAAAAAACCTAACGACACTATACCTTTATAGACCAAATATAAAGCTAGATTTAAAGTCAGTTTTAATCATAACAATTTGTCCAAAAGAACAAAAAAATGCACAATCCTGTTGTAAAGAATAGGAAAGTACTTAGTATCTGGCCAAATAAAATAGTAACTGAACAAAATGTCTAAAAGAAATAAAAAAATCTTGGTTTGGTTACTTCAAACCTTTAACTATTATTTCAGTCAATCTGCCAGACCATAAAATCGTAATTGTTTAACTACAAACAGTTTTCAAATACAAATTTTGCAGGCTTCATGATCTCTACAGACAATACCCGATACACGCAAATGTATTAAATTAAATAACTGTTTTAGAACAATAAAATATTAATAGTTGGTTGTTGCTGGGAGAGTTGCTCATGAAAAGTTATATTTATTGTAAAGTCGTTCTTCGGAAAGAATAAATTCGGTTGGTGTAAGGGAGGTAATTGTTTTTTTTTAAAATATATCTTAAATTGTCAAATAACCAGTAATGATGTGCTCTTATGTCATAGTTGAAAGAATAGAGTACATTATCTATAACAAAAGATAGCAGTTTTTAAACAAATATTTATCTTCCAGCTAACGTGACATTAACTGTCTGTCCGTCCGTCCATTGGTCCTAACGTCAAGACGGCCGGTCGTCCGGGACATGACTTTAAGTATACTCAAGGCATTGTCTATTAAAAACTAATCGAAAATTCTGATCTTTTTTCATGGTGGACATATCTTATAGACTTAAATGAAAAGTGTATTGCCTACGAGTCATTGCTCTCTTCTGCATGATATTGAAGTAAAAATCTGTTTAGTAAATCATATTCAGTACATAAGTATATTTAGTTGTCCAGACCATAGCTTTTAATACATATTAGACTGATTATCAACGACGTGCACCATTGCAGTCCTAGCGGCGTATCATCATAGCTATGATAGTTCTAGTTGTAATAAGGAACATTGATATATAACATATTTTTGACAAATTAAAAGCATGTGCTTCTAATTTAATTGAACGTTTTATTTTGATTGCTCAAAGAAATTTGCATTTGGTAGTAACTTCTCTATCCTATAAGTAAAGTAACTAAATATATCTGTACTAGAATTAAAAAAAAAACATTAAAAGAAAGACGCGGCTTTAATGATTTCATTCTTGAATAAAATTATTCTTCATTTTTATTTTAATCAAACCATGAATATGCAATGCCTAGTAAAATTGTGTTATTTATTAATTGATGGATTTAAAAAATAGAAAAGAATTTTGTCTTATATTTGTTTTAAATATCTCTCAAGTTCATAAACATAATAATGTGTAATGTACGCGATTCTAATATTCATCATACAGGGTAAACAAATTAAATGTGCAGCTTGATCGGGACTAGAACCCGCGACCCTCGGAATCCCTTCTGCGACTCTACTAACTGACACTTTACACATCATCTCCCCTAAATAGCGAACAGTTTTAAACCGTGACACAAAAACATCTTAGAAGATATAAATATGCTCATATACAGCTTATTTAGAATAATTATCGAGTGACATGTCCGTTATTATATCTAGTCAAGCAAAGTAGTGATATTGTTTAAAAATATTAAAAAATAAACAAAATAAAATATATTTTCATCAGTCGGCGTAGTTTCGTTTGTAAGGATGTTATTTGTAAATGTTCGTTGAAATGCATTAATCCGAGCTGTACTTTTTCGTAAAATTAACAATATAATGTTTTTTTGTATTTGCTATTTTTTTAAAAATTTCATGCTTTGTCTTTTTTTTCAATTACTTTATTTCTCATTTTTGTTAAAAAAACATTTTATTACTTAATATTTCATTTCATATTAAAATTCACAACACGCCTGTATAAAATGTTGAAGAAATGTCTTAGACATTTCATTGATTATTATTTTTATTACGATTCGTTGCCTTATCAAAAGTCAAAGTATTTTCAACCATATTCTATCACGATTTTGTACGGAATACATATATGTACATACAGTTCAGGAAATTTGAATAAGTTTGCACGTAATAATTAAGGACTGTACTATTACTACTAACTATATACACCAAGCACGAAAATTATTTATCATACCGGTATATTTTTAGATAATTTAATAGTTATAAGTCGAACACAATAACGTTTACATTAATCGGTCAAACAATTATGATATAATGGGTTGTGCAAGTTATTCAGTTATAACAGTTTGCACTTTAACTGCTATATAAAGATATAGACACGTAAATCCGAGTTGCGTAATGGTTAGAGAGTTCAGATTATGACATGTATGAAGAGTTCAAGTAAAGAAAATGCTTTTTTTTTCAAGTTCAAATCTTGATTTGTGCAATATTTTTATATCTGTACGGTTTTTATTTGCAGAAAACATTTTCATATTCTCTTTTATAAACCTGTGATTAATTTAATATTTTGTACAATTTAAAGTTAAACTTATAACGATTAAGCAAAATTGATTGTACATTGTATTTCATTTTAACAGTCATCAAACAGATAGAAAGTATTGTCAATTTAATTCTATTTAAAATTCTGAATTCAGTTTGTTATATCTTTTAACAATTCCAGCTCATTTGTATATTTATATATTCAAATTTCTTCCATTCCACATGTATCACTATAATTACGACTGTGTTGCCTCTAACTTTTCTTGTTTAAAGCGATTGTGTGTAACACTTAATGTTCTAAAAAAGTATTGTATGAAATAAATTCACGTGTTCTTAGAAAAATATATAAAAACAAAAAATAAAAGAAAGGAAAAAATGCCTTTTCCAAGGATCGAACCACGGTCTCTACACTGACGAAGTCAACATTCAACGACTACGCTATTTCGCCGAACGGTTAAGAAGTGAGTAATTGTTTAGGTAGTTAAAGATTTTGGCGAAAAATAGTATGCTTTTATATAAGAATTATCGACACTCCTTTTTGTCAATATTGATGTAAACTATAGGAACTCTGGAACAGGACCGCATATTGCGGCGCATAAATCCGAATCCGTACCGGCTTTACATATTGTTTGTCCGACCTTTGAATATCTTTTGATATTATGCGAGCGAGTGGTCTTTAATTATCTATTCTATCACTCCACGGAATTTTGTCACTATAAACAAAGAAGGAGAAAAACCGGTGTTCAAATGCCAATAAACACTGGTAAGGGACTACTTGTATATGCGGCTTTTATGTTTTCACCCTCGATTATAAAGTTTACAAAGCCTTTTAAAGCAACAATTAAAAGCAGTTCTTATAATGTTTTCTTTTCATACAATACCGAAATAATATTTCGCATACACTAACGCCACATATTTGATCCATATCAGTTAATAAATATTTTGACAAAACGGCGCCAATCCGTAAGCAGCGTAATGACGTCATCGTAAGTAAACAACTCATTCATAAACAAGCTGACGTTATTTCATACATACAAGAATGATAAATGGGGCACTGATGTAAACACAATACGACGTAAGTTTTTATTGTTGAAAACTTGATAAAATAACGTTTTTTCTTATCATTTATTTTGTTTAATTAATAACTTCTATATCTTTGCAACAGTAGGGTGCGAAAATCGAACAGCGTTATACGAAAATCGGCACCGGAAAATATTTCCGCTTGGAAAAATAACATTAGTGATCTTCCTTATTTTATAGTGATGGAGTCGAAATAACATCGGCCTGAGAGTTGTATATCGGCTATATAACACCGGTTTTGTCGTTTTGATGCGAAAAAATTAACCACTCAGGCTTACGACCTTCGTGGTCAATTCCTGCGCCTCAAAAATCCAAACCGGTGTTAAATAGCCGATATACACCTCTTAGGCCGATGTTATTTCTTAAATGTCAATTTAATATAATCTGCTAATTTAAAAATCAGTCAAATTTACGGTATATGGAAAAAAGAAAAGGAGTGACATCCGCCATTTACCGTAACGTTTGGCGTAAGTTATCCCCCTTGATATGTTTGATGTTTGCTTTAATTTTTCTAGTAATGAATACCAGATGAGTGCCTAAAATATGTATCTATGTATCATGTTTTAATATTCCTTTTTTCAGTTAGGCAAAATCAGTTGGACCATATTAATAAAGTGTCTGTTTTCTCCATGTTAACAAATCAAAACACGAATGCGACCGTTAAAATGCCGCCTATACATGTCAACACGTTTAAACAATAAACCGTGAACGATACCTGATAGTTGACAAAAATAACGGGAACAAAATTCTGAAAAAAAAGTAATCAATTGTAGCCAAAGGGGAAACACTCATGCCGAAAACGTTGCGGCGAATGGCGGATGTCACTTCTTGTCTTTTTTATAATACCGTAAAATTTGACCAGTTTTAAAAGAGACAGATTGGGTTCAATTGATAACATATTTATGAGGCCATTTACTCGGATAATACTAAAAGATATTTAGATGTACCATAAAACGTTTTTAAAACCGTTACACGATCGAAAATATGTGCCGCAATCTGCGGTCCCGTTCTCGAGTTCCTTTGATGTAAACAGATAATGAAAGGAATAGCAAATTCGAGCTGTAGATAATATAGCATAGAAACTTATACATGACAATTGATTGTACGTCTGATATAACTTGAAAAAGACATGTTTTGGAAGTCAACTCTACTCGTAACGGTATGTTTCAATTCATGGAATCCCGACGATTTTAACAATTTCACCTTCTTGACATTTACCATTCATTGGCAAATCTGTTGTTATATGTTGAGATTTTTTAAGACCCGTTTTACCTTTAAAAACAATTGTTCCTAACTTAAGCGTACACATTAAATGAAACTTAACTGCAACATTATCAAAGACAAACTGGAAAATCATGAATAGTCACAATTGCCATGTAATTGCAAGTTGATATAGTAAGGTGATGCAACAAATCCTAGATAATGCCAAAAATGAAAATTAATGAAAACACAATTGTCCAAGACATGTGTTAATTGACTAAACAATCAGTAATTAACATAATATATGCTTTTAACTAAAAATAAGTAAGTCAAATTTTATTTTTGTTTTACAATAACATACAGAGACACAACCATAACGGTCATAGAAAATACGTTGATTTTCCTACTATGAAAGAGATCGGCAGTGTTATTTCCACTCAAACATATGCAGACTGGTAAAGTTCTTTATATCATGTTTTAATATCAGGTCAAGGTTATAATCCATGAACGGATATGGTCTACATTCATTTATCAAATAACGACATGTCGTTTATAAAAATGATTCATATCTCTATAAATACAATATAAAATTTTTACTTCTACATGGTATCTTTCCATTTTGCACAAGAGGTAAATCAAAATCATTAAAACATTTTCTGCATTTACAATCTTCAATATTATTCCTTATGATTTATAATTCATTTATAATTTTGAATTTCTTTATATAGATGGACAAGGCTTATATGCATGAATAAGAATGTGATCAACATACATGAATTAGGAACATTCAGATTTTAACATGCCATCAAGATACTTATACTTCAGCGGGTAATTCCTTCCATATGTAAGTTTGTAACCTAAATTTTTTTTTCAAGCATTTTATCGTCAGACAAAAAGTGGTAATAATAATAATAATAATAATAATAATAATAATAATAATAATAATAATAATAAAATGAAATAAAAAACATGATTGCAAAAACTGTAATGTACAATTCCTATAGTGTATCTATTGCAAGCTTGATATATATATTTTTTCTAATGTACAGACGCTCTTATGACATTGAGCAATATTAGGCTTCTCTACCACTATCATCACTCGTCTAAAATTCAACATTGAAGGTTAAGACTGAATAAAACAAACGTTTTCTTAAAAAGTAAATAATCCGGAATAGTATGAGCAAAAAGAGTAAATGCAAAAAGTGATAAGAACGATTTAAAAAGAATCACATACCTTAAATTATTTGTACCTAGCTACGTGTGTTTTTATCTGGATATTCAAATAATCCAAAATTGACTTGCATCACAAGTTACAAGTATTGTGTATATACAGGTCTTGATTATTGTCGCATTGTTTCTGGTGTACAAATTCAACAACGATTTAGCTAGACTGTATTCATTACGTGAATCCTAAATAATAACCAATCGGATGTCTTCAGGTCGTTTAGCTTAATGACATATCTGCAATCTTTATCTTAACTATTTCCTTTCTAAAAATTGGGCCATTGTGAGGTCTTTAGGGTTCTTTATTTTATCTCACTTTGTGTTTCCCGTGTCGAGGCCTTAAAAAGTCGCCTCGTTCATTCAGTTAGGGACCTTGAAAATCCTTCAGTATTTTAATATCATTCTTGTGTTTATGATACTTTTAATTCTTTCTGGTTCCTTTTTCCTAGCTGAGTGGTCCAGTATAGATCAAATGAATACTATTGAACCACCGTTTGGATACGTAGGATACGTTGCCTGTTTTTTTACATTTAGTCTTTTGACAGCTTATCTGCAATTTGCAGGCTTCATAACATCTGATCCTCTTTCAAAATTCCATTTCATTTAGTTTCGCCTTGTTTTCTCATTTAATGCCACGCATGTTATTATTTTTTGGACCATACGCCGCTGTTCATGGAATGGCACTGACGTGTGACAATAAATGTTTTAAGATGACCGCCGTATGAACACATAAAATCATGTTTTTAAATTCATAATTTAATCTTTCACTTACTATTCATTTAAAATTGTTTCAAGCGGTGTAAACGGGCGCAAACGGAGTCTTGCACTTTCCAGTACCGTCCATGAACAAGTTCAATTAAACCGAGCCTGCCACATTTACATGTTTGCCTTTTTTGACGTTTTTGTTTGATTAAATTAATGTCATTATGTAACTAAAAACTTGAACAGAAACTATTAATCCTAACCATTACATATTTACATAAGAAATAATAATAATGTCAAAAATGTTAATATGTTTGCCTTGTTGTTATTATGTCAAGGTATTTATCATTTAAACAACTATAAATTTGTTTGAAAGTTAGTAAATCAAATTGTATGTACATTTTGTACAAGTATTTGAAAAGGAAACATAACTATTTCAAGATATATAATTGAAAACATAACGAAAACTACATATGGAAACGTTATTATGAATGATTGCATATATTCTTTGTCGTAACATAGAAACAAAGTTGTCGTATGATTATGTTGACAAGAGCATTGAGATACGAATTTGTAAATATGCTGTAAAACGTCTGGTTTCGACATACTTAATTCGCAAAATATTTTTTGACAAAAGCGTCTGTTTGACCGTGTTTTAAAATTGGTCTTTAGAACATGTGAGTTGTTTCAGATAACAAAACTACGGAGAAAGAATCAGGTCATGGCGTTCAATTGCACAGATAAGCTGATATCGCATCCGGTGCATTAAGCAGTATATTTGAAGGACAAAACTTGCAACGATTGATCAAAATAGCTTTAAAATAGTAAATTATACGCTTCATTTGGTGACTGAATGGGAGAGAAATAAACATATTTAAATGGTTAAAAGTATCTTTATCTTATAGCTACGTATTTGCATTTATTTAGGCGTGCAGAGAAATCAGCAAGTCAGTGACGGACAGACTGTATAAAAAACACCTCTCATTCACTAGCAAATCTTGCAAATGCTATTTCCTAAATAAAAAAATACATTTCCGAAAAATGCGTTCTACACTTTTATTCCAGTGAAGTGTGAAACATAAATAAATAAATAGATAGATAGATAGATAGATAGATAGATAGACAGATAGATAGATAGATAGATAAATAAATAAATAAATAAATAAATAAATAAATAATTAAAAAGATAAATAAATAAGAGCTTAAAAACAATGCATTTTATTTCTTTTATTCTCATTTGGAAAAGGAACAAGAATAACGAGTAGAGTTACCAAATAATAGCATTTGCATTGTATACCTAAACGAATGCAGTTATTTGTTCAATTAGAAATTTCAGTACATGTTACTTACTAACCCTAATTAAAATGTGTAATCTGGTTGTAATAAATGTGGAAAAGTGATGCTTTGTATTGGTTATTATATGTGTATAGCATAATTGATTGGTAAACATATGTCTTTATAAATATCTAACTTGCAGCTATTGGTTAATCAAAATAATTCCGCAGGGCGTACAGAAGATAATGTAATCATGTGTATTACCTTCATTACAGCTTATGGTAATAAAACTGTCACCATATATTTTGTAGAATATATAAGAGAAATATCTGAACTGTTAGATTTTTTTTTTAAATGAGAATTTCACAAATGGATATCAATGTAACAATGTTGAATTCTAAAAGTTAAAAAAAAACTGTAAGTTGCCATTTTCGCAACTTCGTATAGACTTTATTTATGTATTTTTCCCATTTTTTCAGTCATTTCTGAATAAACATGCCAGAGTTGTTAGTTTTCTTCATCATGCATCATTAGAAAACATATATGTTTAAACATTTTTCTTTTACTTATTTTTTTTCGTGAAACTCTTGAACATAGATGATAAATACAAAATCGTGCTTTAATACATAATACAGATATGAGCTTTTCTCTAAGTATACCGAACAGGAGAGTATCCAACTAAGCTTGTAATTGGGTGTGTCGGATGTGTAGCAAAGTCTTTTAAAATGCTATACATTTTTTAGAAATACTTTTAAAGATCGTAAAATCAAAAAGCTAATGTTTCTGAAATATGGTGGTTGATTTGTGCCATTCGTGTTTTCGCCAAGCAACACCGCCAAGCGAAAAGTCGAGAATTAACAAGTTAAAATGGCGAGGGCGCGGAATGAAAAAACAGCGAGATTTTAGAAATAAATTGGCATGGGTGCGGACCCCCCACTGTCTTAACCTGTTAATTCTCGACTTATTGCTTGTCTGGATCGCGGTGCGAAAGACACGCTCATTAGCGGGGGCGCAGGGTGTGAAGTTTTATCTATTTATCTACGTCCCGCGCCCCCGCTAATAAGCTTGTTTTCGCGCCGTGCCCCCGCCGTTTTCACTTGTTAATTTTCGTTTTTTCGCTTGGCGGAGTCACCGCCGAAAACACACTATTTTTCGAGGGCTTGGGACGAAGTTTTATCTATTAAACGTCGTCCCGCACCCCGCTAATTTGTTTGTTGTCGCTCCGCGCCCCGTCAATTTATTTCTTAAATCTCGACCCGCGCCCCCCGCAGGACGAATTTCTATTTATTAAATTTTGCCCCGCACTCCCGTTAATTTGCATGTTTTTGCTCCGCGCCCCGTCATTTTTAGCTGTATATTCTCGACTTTTCGCTTGGCTGAGTCGCGGGGAGGAAACACGGATCACACAAATCAGTCACGATACTGAACTGCAATTATATTTCTTTCCAATATTTTTTTTTCTATGATTTTATTATTATATTAGATAAGAGTGAGTACAAAAAGTGGCATTCAATAAATAATCAAAATGTATTTTGTTCTCTCCTCGGGTGAGGCGAATTTTGACAATTAATTACGGTCAAGTCTAATGGGCATTTGTCTCAGGATTTACGTTAGTTTATAAGTCGGTCACTTGCGAGGACATTAGAAGAAATTTTGTTATCAAGGAAAGTAAATTGGGTGGACTAACCGCCTACATAGAACCAGTTTGTAAAAATTCTTATCACATGGAAGTGATAACAATACTATCTGCACATTTCACTAAGTAACTTAACTTGTAAGAGGAGCGTATTTTATCATGTACAGAGTATATACAAAGTCATGTAGATATACAATAATTATTAACATATATTCATTGTTACGCACTCATCTTTAAGCTACAGCATAAAATGTTCAGAATCTCTTTTCATATAGCAATATAGAATGTTAAAGTATGCTAAAAAAGTAAAAGTCAGTGACGATCTTCCACATCACTGTAACCGTTGTCAGCATTTGGTAACAGTAATCCAATTTTTGTATCGGATGTCTATGCAGTCTTCATCGAGATATCCTTTCAATCTTGGGTTTTCTATATCACCCATGGATCTGATATGAAGCTGAGATAGAATTTTGACCCGAGAATGCTGCCTTTGAAGCCAAACTCAATATATATTAATTGTCATTAAAGGATTTGTTTTAATGCTAAACATCGTCTGGTGGTAAGATTTTGTAAACATTTTTGATTTCGCTTAGCGCATTTTCCTCAAATGCAATGCATGTTTTGGAGACACAAGAACCAACAACGAAATGAATACCTCGACGACGATTGCATCAAAATCTATTCAGAACAAAAAATGGGTAAATATAGAGGAAAGTTAAGAAGGGTAGAATCATATTTCGATTTTTCTTAAACAAAACCTTTTCTGGCACATTTGTCCAGCCAAAAATGGTCAAATTATCATAATTAAAGGAATTTCACCTTGATAATCAAGAGCAAAATAACTATTCAGCACCCATTTACTATATATAATACATGTATATACATGGTGTATAACTCGCCGAAGCGTTTTATCATTATATTATATATCGTAAACTAATGCTTGCAAGTATTTTTGTAATTGGTGATCAAGGGGATTTTTTGATAATTTACCAATTATTGGCAAGACAAATGTGACGAACACCTGTATTTAAAAAAGGGATTTCCTTGACAAATGTTTACAATTATCACATAAAAGCATATACCATCGGCAGTCAAGGATACGTATTCTTTCTCATTAAAGCATTTAAGACACAATAGATACATTTTGGATACAAAAAATATCTATTATATACGATGTCCTGTAAGGGCCATCGCCGCACACTTATATATCTAAACAGCAATAATGTGATAACTACGATCATTAAAAGTCAAAAGCGCGATACTATGATGATAGAATTGTGGAACAACGATGGTGTAAACACGAAACTACAATGGTGAAAACGCGAAACAACGAAGGTACGATGCTGAAAACTCGATATAATATCGTTTTTCGCCATCGTGTTTTCGGTATTTCTACTTTTCATTATCGTTGTTGCAATTTTCTTCGTCGTTGTTGCGTGTTTTCACCATCGTAATATCGTGTTTTCATCATTGTAGTATCGTGTTTTCGTCACGGTTGTCTCGTGAACTAGTGCAAAATATTTTTATGAATAGTTCCAATAAAGAAATTATAGTTATACTGGCTATGATT